CACCAGCTCAAAACAGGACAGAGAAGGGCCTCGTTCAGTCAACTTTATCAAGTACGGTGTACTTTCCGCTCTACTGAGACTGATCCGAATTTCACGGGTTTCGAGCAGGCAAGTGTCCGGCGAAATTACGGGCCGATGTAAAGGGAAATGAGCGGAAAGACTAGCATCTCCTTGCAAGCTTTAGGAGTGTCTCAACGGCAGTGCAACCCTCTGCAACGGTGCCAAAGGGGTGTGAGTTTATGGTTATGTGTGTACTGTAGTGTATTTAATAACGTTGTCTTATATTTCCTTTTTCTATCCAATAGGAAATGAGTATTACGAATTAGAAAAATGTTAATGATAGTATTCTGACTTTCAGCAAAGCAAATTAGTTTCGGAAATATAAATATTCCAGGTTGATTTTCTTCACACACACACACACACATACACACGCACACACACACACACACACACACACAAACACACACACACACACATTCATACTCACTCACTCACTCATGCTAGATTATATTACACTTGACTTTGAATGTACTGTTCTACTTGTAACATATCTCAACATATTAATATATTACAGGGTATGAAGCCAATGTATTTTTTTCGTAAACTTAAACAAAAAAAAACAATGAGATGGATTATATCAGTCGACTGGCGCATCATCTGCATACAAAATGTTCCATTAGCAACTAAATTATCTTTTATGTTACTGCAGAAGTACCCAGAAATATTTCTGATGTGATTATACATTAACAGTATCTGAATGAGATTATATTGATATTAGTAATAGTAACAATAGTAATAATATTGATAGAAATAATAATAATAATTGTAATAATGTTGAGAGTAATAATAATAATGAAAGAAATATGATGATGATAATAATAATGATAATAATAACAACAATTATTATTATTATTATTGTTATTATTACTATCATTATTATTATTATTATTATTATTATTATTATTATTATTATCATTATTATTATTACTATTGTTATTATTACTATTATTATTATTATTATTATTATTATTATTATTATTATTATTATCATTATCATTACTATTATGATAATATCATTATCATTATTATTATGATTGTTATTATCATTATTATAATATAAATAATGATGATACTAATAATAAGGATAACAACAATGATAGAAAAAATAAGGATGACAATTATAATATGAATAGTAATAATGATAATTATGATTTCAATAATAGTAATAATAATAATAATGATAATAATAATGGTAGTAGTAGTAGTAACTGTAATAATGATAATAAGAATAATAATGATAGTGATAATTATAATAACAACTATAGTAATAACAACAATTATTATTATTTTTGCAGTAATACTACTACTACTACTACTACTACTGTTACTACTACTCTTACTACTGCTACTACTACTAATAATAATAATAACAATAATGATAATAATAATAATAACAATTAAATAATAATAACAATAATAGTAATAAAAAATAATAGTATTAATATTAATAATCTCCTACTACTATAAACGTGCGAGTGCATAGCAACAAAGGGAAGGACGGTGTTGAATGGCACGAGGGATCAGGTGATGATCAGCACACACATGGAGAGTATATGTGAAGGTTGATCCCAGGCTGGTTTCCCTACGACGTCATTCTAGATCATTCGTGAAGTACCTAAAAAGGGGCCCTAAAAGAACCATGACCGGCTTGTTTTTGGTAATTATTGTGGCAAGCAGAGGGTTTTTATTGGTGTTCATCTTTTAGGTCTTTGAAAGTTTCTCGTAGTTTTAGCTTGAAAATGGAGATTTTTTCATATATACTGCATGCAATGATGATAATAAGCATACGATATAATTTTTTTTATTGATTTTATGTTTAAAAAATAGTTAATTACAGGAAATTTAACATTAGTTTCTTTAATCTCTTTATTACGGGATTTATAGTTTTAATGTTTAAGATAACAAGTTCATCTACTGGAAAAATGTTTTCCAATATTCTTTCAATTAAACAAAATTGGGTAGATTTCGTAATCATAATGGTTATAATAATTACGATAGCAATAATAATAGTAATAATGATAATGATGATAATGATTATAATAATAAATTGAAGAAAAAGAAGAAGAATGCCAATAATAATAATAACGATAACCATGATAATAATTATAATAATATTAATAATAATAATACTGATAATAATAACAGCTATAATATTAACAACTAGAGTAATAAGGATGTTATCAATAATAATGATAATAACAATAACAATATTGATAACAATAGTAACAATTATAACAATACACACACGCACACACACACACACACACACACACACACACACTAACACACACACACTAACACGAACAAACAAACAAAGAGACAAACACACACACGCACACACTTAAAACGAAAAATTATCATAGAATACAATCATCAACATTCATGAAAAAGCAACAACAACAACAACATGACTAATCCTACATAACACAACACACGACACTTGACCTAAAAAAAAATATTAGAACAGTCACCATCAACAGAATCTTTTTCCTTGCCTATTGACCTCGGAACACAGGTCATTAGGAGCGCCAGCCATTCGCACCCCACATGCTCGTATTTCAAACTCGCGATATGCAAATGAAGGTGGGAAAAATTACCCTTTGATGACACATTCAGTGAGAATTGATTATGGTCTCGCCAAAGGAATTAATTCTTTTTAAGAATTATCGCGTTTTTTTTTCATATATTAATAATGGAGCTCTTGGTGATAATTAATTGCACATGTATTATTGAAGCTTTAAACAGTATAATCTGTATATTAATTGTTTGTGAACATTATCAAACAGTACAACACTATCGTTTCAGAATGGTAATTATCTTTATTATCAGAATTAGAGAACATATTGAATTGTTCTTTGCAATTCAATATATATGTAGGGGTTGTCTGTGTCTCCCCCCCTAGTTTGCGGGGCCGTAGGAGCCAACGAGACCTAAGCCTCCGGCCTCCTGTTCCGGCACAGAGTAAATGTCATTGACGTTTGTCTTGTGCAGTCTCATGGTTGGTAGCGTCAAAGAACAAGATGTGTGAATCAAAGTCTTTTGCTCAAAGCATTCACCAAAAATATAGATAATTAAAAATATGTATAACTAATAAAACGTGAAAGTGAAATCATAAGAATAAATCAAAGTTATTATTAAAAGAGAAAGAGTTAAAATAAGTTAAATAAACTATAAAACTTCACTGCTGCACTGTATCAACAGTCTTCAGATTGTATCAACTTATCATTTATCATCAGATTTCATCATTTCATTATTTATCATAATTAAACTTATTTTCATTAATGTTTAGTTGGAAAAAACGAAACAAAAGGCAAAGCTCAATACCATTATTATTTAAAACAAAAGCGAGAACACAATTAAATAAAACCTCCGGAAAAATAAAAGTTAAACACAAATACACGTAAAAATGGGCAATCTTAAGTAAAACAAATACAAACAATACCTGATAAAACTGCAGACTCACTGTAAGATCCATAAAACGTAAACGGGAAAAACACAAAAAAAAATGACAAAATCTAAAAACAACGGCGGTTATCTGAGGGATAGTCCGACCATAGTACCGAGCAGATGCCTGTGCGCAACTCAAGCAAGGTGGTTGACCCCACCTTATTTATCCAAACAAGGTCGTGCGCCAGGAGATGTTCGCGCATCTAGACTCATTTCATGGTTAATTGTCGTCTGCTTTCTATGAGAGTTTCTTAAAATATTAAAATATTATCAATAGATTGCCGTGGTTTAAAAATAAAAGGAGGTTTAATACAGAAAAATGCACATAAAATAATATAAACAATAAAAGAAAGGAACAAACACACACAAATTCAAACACACGATAAAAAATATATCCGTGGGCTAGCTGAGGGGTTTGGCGCCAAATGCCCGTTGTCAGTTTTCCCTCGGCCTTGTCTGTCGCCATCTTGGGCGCCATCTTGTTATGCCCGTACCCATGAGAGCGACCTCCCAACGTCATCCTTCGCAGGCCTCGAGTGGGACATCGGGACATCGAAGCATGGATAGCTTAGGCCAAATGCCCTCGATATGTTGAAAAATGCCCAGGGCGTCTCCATCATCCTCCTGCAGCGCCTCCGTCAGGCAGTACCTTCTGCAGCGTCTCCGTCGGTGCCTCCGTCATTATGCTCGCGCCCTGGCCCAAACTGATAATATTGGTCGCGGGGGCTTTTTATGGGGGTTTTGGGTGATGCTGAGCGGGTGTGGGTCGCCGGAAGAGGCAGTAAGAGCGGCAGCTCACTACAACCCCTCCCCCACCTAGTAGAGCGAAGTCCACGACGTCTCATATGGCTGGTCCTCGAAGTCCAACTGCCCCTACTAGCGAGATCTGCTCACATCCTCTGCTGGGGTGTTCTAGGGCGCCTCACTTAGATCACAGGGACATCGTGAGACGACGGTGACGAAGCTCTCCCTGACCTTCCTCTCCCCGGAAGTGGCCATGACATCCTCCCGACAGTCTTAACATCGACCATGCTGCCTCGAGACTGCTGCTCTGTTAATGTAGTAGTCTTCACTGACGGGTAAATACTCCAACATCTCCACCGTCATCACAGGTACTGCAGCACCCTCATCTCCAACCATTCACACAGGTTCTCGACACCTATGCATCAACCTCTATCTCAGGTTTCTTCCATAGGATTCACAGACCAGGACAGGGTGTGGTTACATGCTCATACATCTGGAATGAGAGAAATCCCCTCCCAAACCCCATTGGAGTTGCGCAGGCTTAATGAAATATATGAAAGTGACCAGGAAACTAGTTGTTATTAAAGCAGGATATTGTCTATCTGTTTTATTAAGATTGCCCGAGGAGGTAAAAATGGCTTGGCTTCAGACATAATTAGCATTATTTAATATCGTTTAAAACACATAAAAACTAAAATAATTCAAAACAAAACATTGGTAAAACTAAAACATAAGAACAAAACATCACATTAGATACAGGATGCAAGTAGCATTACACCTGGTTCAGCATCATCATCCAAAAGTGGATCAACAAAATCAGGACTATATTCATCATACAAATCTGGGTAAGTGATCTCACCCAAGACTTTAAAGGGTTTCAAGTCATTAATGTGGTATTGCTTTTCATTAAAAGGTTGATAAATATCTTTCAGCAAAAAGGTAACAGGACCGATCTTCTTTTTGATGCGTGCAGGACCTGACCAGCGTGGATTTTGCAGTTTATCTACCCCAGTCTTACGAACTCGATTCTTATATAAGACGAGATCTCCTTCAGCTAATGCCTTTGGTTTGGCGGACCGCTTATCGTAATCTCGTGTCCACTGTTCCCTTGCGGTTCTTGTAGTCTCGAGGGCTACCTTACGAGCTATATTGAGAGCATTATAAAAGGCTCTAGATGAATCTGAATTGTAGATAAGATCGTTGGTTAGTCCAACAGGAAAATGACCATGATGACCTGTCATTAAGTATAAAGGCTGATCTCCTGTACTACGATGAATAGCGCTGTTAAGAGCCAGCCTCACCTGTGGGATAAGCTGCTCCCATCGAGTTGGTGTTGTATTTGCTAGGGATGCAATTGCATCCTTAACTACTCTGTTTGTTCTTTCTATCATCCCATTAGCTTGAGGATGATAAGCAGTTGTCAAGGTTGTCTTTATCTGCAGTAGTCGACAGCATTCCTTAAACAGCCGATTATTAAATTAAGATCCCCCATCAGTTTGTATAAGGCAAGGCGGACCAAATATCGTAATGAATTCTCGGAACATCGCATCAGCAACAGAGTCAGCTTCCTTGGTTTTCAATGGAACAATTTGGACGTACCGAGTTAAATGATCGATGATGGTCAGACAGTAACGATAACCAGCCTTAGATCTCCCTAGCTCAATTAAATCAGCACTTATTTTCTCGAGAGGAACCGAGACATCTGGCGGCTTTGCAAGAGGAGCCTTCCTTGGACCTCCTTTTCGTCGTTGGCAGTCTTCACAGGCTGCAACATACTCCTTGACGTCACGAAGCATGTTTGGGAAATAAAACATGTCCTTAAGTTTGACAAATGTTCTAAATACACCAGGGTGAGCAGCGATTGGAGAAGAGTGGGCTAATTTTAATGCACTCCTTCGAAGTTGTCGAGGAACCACAAGTTGGCTAACAATTCGATCAGGTAAGTTTCTCACATGATACAAAACACCATTCTGGAGTTCAAATTCTTCCAGAGGGCGTGGAGGTTTTCTGTGAGGGACTGCTTCCTCTTCCAGATAAGCAATAATTTCATGCCACATCGGATCCTTCAGTTGTTCTGATCTCATGGTCTTTGGGTCTGGATCCGCTATACTGACAGCTGAAATATTTCGACTTAACATATCTGGGATGTGGTGTGAGGTACCAGGCTTGTACAGAATGTTAAATGAATAGCCAGACAGTTCATATGCCCACCTAGACATCCTTGGAGACTTTGTTTTCTTTGTGAAAACGTACACAAGTGGTCGATGGTCAGTGTACACCGTGAATTTGCGACCATATACATAAGGGTCAAATTGCCGGACGCTTTCAATAACGGCAAGAGCTTCTGCGTCAGTAGCAGAATATCGAGTCTCTGGTCCTCTTAACTTTCGACTGAAGTAAGCTATGGCATGGGGTTTGTTCTCACTATCTCTCTGCATTAATGCAGCACCAATGGCAACTTGTGATGCGTCAGTATGTATCTCAAATGGGAGATCAAAGTTTGGTTTACGCAAAATCGGGGCGTTCATCAAAGCATCTTTCAAAGATTGAAATGCTTTCCGGCACTCATCTGTCCATTTGAATTTAGTATCTTTCTTGACAAGTTGGGTTAAAGGTGCAGCTACTTTAGCATAATCAGGAACATGTTTTCTGAAGAATCCTGTAGCTCCTAAGAATCTTCTTACCCCCCTGACTGTTTTTGGGGCTGGCATCTCTGCAATTGCTCGAACTTTGTCAGGATCAGGGAGAATGCCTTCAGGAGTAACTCGGAATCCTAAGAACCTGAAGTTCTTTACAACAAATTCACATTTGTTAACATTTAGCTTGAATCCAGCACAATCTAATATATCCAGCGTTTCTTTCAGATGACACAGATGTTCGTCAAAGTCCTTACTGTAGACAACAATGTCGTCCAGGTAAGCTAATGTATGCCGGCCGAGAACTGGGCTAAGAATGGCATTCATAGTCCGCTGAAATGTTGTAGGTGCCGTAGACAAACCAAATGGCATACGTCGCCACTGAAAAAGACGATAACCATCGCTGAATGCCGTCTTTGGCCTATCTTCAGGTGCCACAGGGATACTCCAGTAAGCACTCCTACTGTCAAGTAGTGAAAAGACTGCTGTTTCTCTGAGCTCATCCACCAGCTCATCAATCCTTGGCAAAGGATAGGTATCAGCTATTGTCACAGAGTTCAGCCGACGATAATCTACACAGAAGCGAACTGTTCCATCCTTCTTTTTAACAAGCACTACGGGTGAGAGCCAGGGTGATGTGCTTGGTTCAATCACACCAGCCTCAAGCATGGCATCGCACTCCTCCCGTATCTGTTGTTTAGCTGCTTCAGGTAGTCGCCACTGGCGTGTACATAAAGGCTGAGTCTCATGTGTAGGGATACAGTGCTGAACATCTGGCACAGTGCCAATAGAGAACTTATCTGAGCTAAAAAGACGTGGATAATTAGCCAATAGTGTCAGAATACCTTCACGTTGCTTGTCTGATAAATGGCTCAAATCTGGTCCATATTCTTGATCGTCAGTTGCCATGGTAACCGATGCAATGTCTGGAGGATCATCTAAACTTGTCTCAGGAAAAACAACAAAGTCACTGTCATCATAACCGAAGTCTAGTTGACCGTGAGCTACATCAAAATCATCATCCTCAAATCTAAAGTCTGGATCAGAGGCATCACCGCTATTCTTAAATTCCTCAGGTGAAAGTTCAGCATCAACAGAGTTATCCTTTAACTGTTCCTCAACAGGATAAGATCCTTCAGGTGACTGCTTCAATTCCACCACTGTGCAAAGTGCTCCAGTTGCCATGTGTGTACCATTTTGCAGGTGAATGGGACGAGCTCCTCCATTCACTACCCATACAGAAGCAATTCCATTCTCAGGCACAACTACTGTCCTAGGAACGACAACTTTGTCAGTGGCTGATTCTAGAAGCACTTCCTTATCATTGAATGTCTGAGGCACAGTCACCGAAACATAACGACCACTACGAGGAGGACATAAAGTGGTTCTCCTGAGAGCTAACTTCTGACAGTGATTCCTTGGAGTGAATTCAGCTACAGCAGTAATACCTAGAGTCGTCCCAACAGCATAAGTTATAGGAAGGATTATCCCTTGAAGCTTCAGGTAATCTTTTCGTGGAGTATGATTATGTACCAACTGGTAACAGAACCTTTGTAGAAAATCCATACCAATAAGAACATCCCCTGGAAAATCTATACCCTCCACCAAACACAATCTGTGACAACACTTTCGGATTCTCCTGCCATTACCAATAGATACGTCAGCATCCCACTCAGATGTAGCCTCGAAGAGCCGGCCTGAAACTCCTCGAAGACCACGTCCCTCATGATAAGTTCTTTTGGGAGTCATTGTCTGCGAAGCACCCATTTTAAGCAGAGTAACTTCAGATCCAGTATCAATAAAAGCTGTAACGTCTACTCCTCCAACACGAATCTTCACTAGAGGTCTCCCACATGGTCCTTGAGCAGTAATCTCAGTAACCTCAGATATTGTCTGGACCGCAGCCTCTGTCAACTGTCGTTCTCCTTTGTATAAAATCTGGTCCTCGGAAGCTGACCTTTCTTGGGCTCCTTTGATACCCAGAGGTGAGTGGAGCTCCTCCTCTCTGGCCATCCTGAAAGGGGCACTCTCTTCGAACATGACCTTCTCTTTGACATCCCCAGCAAGTGATAGTCGATCGCTGATTTCTTTGTCGATATGCACGAGGCTGGTCACGAGAGATCTCTGCAATTCCAGATCTTCGTGGTTCTGCAGGAAGTTTAGGAGGTTCATCATGGCTAGACACTCCCACTCTGGCATTCCATAGCCGCTGTGAGGCTTCAACAAGTGACTGAAGCGAATCACCTTCCTTAAGAGCGAGAAGTTCTCTTAGCCAGCTGGGCAATCCTTGCAAAAATACCCTTCGAATTAACTCCTCAGGGCTACCTATTGCTTCTCGGTGATCTCGATAGCCTTGATACACCATTCCCTCAACTACTGCATAAAAATCAAGAGGAGCCTGCCCTGCAAGCATACGCACTTCATAAAGTAGAGTGAAAAAGTCTGAGGCTGAGCACGTTCCTCTAAATTTTTGTCGTAGCTTTTGTTTAAACTCTACCCACGAAAAGATATCATCAAATATGGGTGAGTTGATTATCAACTCAGCCTGTCCTCTGCAATGTGCTCTTGCAGCCCGAATCAGAGCCTCATCAGTGGCAGGCATGACTGCATTTTCAAGCTGCATAATCCAGCCTTCGACTTCTTGATTTCTGCGAAGTGGCTGAGAAGCTGGTGCTTCAGCTTTAAACTTCGAAATAGAATCCCGATCAGAAACTACCAAATAAGTTGGCTGTGATGTAGACTGTGTGTTACTACTATTTTGTACCAGCGTCGCCTGTTGACCAGGAGGTGTAAACAGTGTGCGAGGAGCAACTGTGGGCCTTGCAGAAGATGTAGGGTCAACAGTAACCTGCGGTTGTGAGTCAGCCTGAATACTAAAATTCGCCGGAGTGAGCATCGGCGATGTGTCTCTCACAATTATCCGCCTGGTAGTTCGCGGAATAGCGCCTCTCACAGGTGACGTGTGAGGTGAAAGCGCAGTGGCACCCTGCGGTTCTGCAGCACTTGTAGTGGCACCAGAGTCTAGCCTCAAAGTTAACCTTTCCAGTAAACCTCTTATCTCGTCACGGTCCTTCTCTTTCTCCCTCTCGAGACGCTTTACCTGATTCGTTAACTCTTTAATCATCCCCCTCAACTCCGTGACCTCATCAACCAGAAGGATTTCATCATCAAGGTTCTGGCGAGATTCATCCTCAAGCTCAGGCGCAGGCTGAGACTTCTTCCTCCTTTCCCTAACCATCGTATCAAACAAAGACAAGACAAAAACAAAGACAAAGACAAACACAGAAATCAAACGTCACAACGAAAAAAAAACGACAAAATACACAAAAACAATTCCACCATCAACTCGTAAACCAATAATACAAGAAATCAATAAATATGATGAGAGCTAAAGGTTTAAAGCTGGTAAATCACATTAAAACAACAAGCAAAACTCAAAGTAAACTCTTAAATTACGTACACTTAACAATATCTTACTCTACACCAGTCTTCATTAACCTTTAACTGTCATCATTGTATGCTTTGGCAAAATCTTCGAAACACAAGAACATCAGCACAAGAACAACTCCAAACGTCATCAATAATTAAAACACTCAATCCCACCAATTAAGCCACCATTATCCGCTGTAGGGGTTGTCTGTGTCTCCCCCCCTAGTTCGCGGGGCCGTAGGAGCCAACGAGACCTAAGCCTCCGGCCTCCTGTTCCGGCACAGAGTAAATGTCATTGACGTTTGTCTTGTGCAGTCTCATGGTTG